AAAATAACATCTAAAGAGAGGATGAGTTTTTTATTAATTAAAAGAAATTGCCAATCGCCTTATTAATAAAAAGCAATCGCCAATGAGGCGTCACAATTAATTTTTATAAAATATCAGTCGTTTGAGCATTTGTCAGAAAATTGTATGCTATATCATAACTGATAGTTATTATCAATTAGGCATTAATTGTATAAAAAAAGATAGCAATTTTGACAAGATTTTAATTCTGTTTAATCTAAGGATTTCTAATTATAAATTATGATTAATAATTTTACATGACATACATTGAAAAATTATAAAAATATAATTTTGGCAAAAGTTCTGCCAATTTTTCCAAATTTTGTTTTGACAACTAAAAATAATATTAAATTTTTTAATAGCAATATATATTACTGCTTGTATATATTGCAAAATGTAATATATACAAGCACAAAGAATACTTTTTACGTGATTTCTTAAAATTCGTGATTACTCGTCGCACTAATCGGTCGTGCGTATACATGTCTCTGTTCCCCTTTCTTTTATTCTATTATAATTATAAAAATAACATATGTTCTGTGTATACAGATTGCAAAAAGACGTGCGATTAGGACGACGAGAATCTCACGAGAATATATTAGGGCACGAAATTTATAGTAGTTCGATTGCATATTCTTCATCCTCTGAGAATCTCATAGATTTTGTTTCGAGATTTCGCTTCGAGATCGATCCTTGTGGGTCGCTAATTACTTCCCTTCCGGAGAAATCCTCTTTATGTAATCAAGATTGTATTTTCCTTCAATTATGTATGTGTATGCGAGTGTATGTATGTATGTATGTATGTATGTATATATGTATGTATGTATGTAATGTCTGATAGAAAAAAATAGAAAAAGAAAAAGAAAGAGAAATGAAACATACAAAAGAATAGGAGACGAGAAAATGGGAAAAAAGTTAAAAGAGAAGAAAGAACAAGAAAGAAAAGGGAAAAAACCAAAAATATACTTTGATACACTTTACTGGCGTAAAATCGATATAAATTTAAACATTTTAAAAATTAAATTAAAGGGACAGTGACTAAAAAATATAGAAAATACAAGGAAGTTTTGTAAAATATTTTTTATTATAGAATTAAACTAGAATTGTCAAAATTAAAAAAAATAAATTTTTATGTTAAATGATAACATATTTGAGATAATAATTATTTATT